GCTCTCACAACCCCATCATTTCACCTCTAAACTTTCTTGCATTATCTCACACATGAAATTTTGGGGGACCCCTAATATCTAAACCTTAACACTTTGACACCCTTCCCATCAAGAGATGGATTTTGGGGGTTGGGGTTGTGGCTCTGTGGTGGAACACTTGCCTATCATGTGTGAGGCACTGGGTTTGATCCTCAGCACCACATATAAATAAATAAATAAATAAATAAATAAATAAATAGAATAAAGGTATTGTGTCCATCTACAACTAAAAATGTGTTAAAGAAAAAAAGAGAAAGAGATGGATTATGCCCCCTTCTCTTGAACCTAGGGATCTTGAACCTAGGTAGAGTGATAAGAATAAACTTCCAAGGATAGGTTAGAAAAAAACTATACATGTTCTGCACTTTCTCTTGGGACATTCACCAACTGCTGTGTGAGAAGTCTGGCATCCCTGAGTTGGACTCCATTTTTGGACTCCATGTGGAGAGACCACATTGAGCTATCTGAGGAGCCCCAGAGTTACATATGCAGTTTACACATTCTGTAAAAAAGTCATTTTTAAATATCACAAAATATCACAAATTAATCATATATCCATAGTAGATGTTCTTCCTGTTCACATAAATTTTTAAGCAATATTCAAGCATGTTTGTGTTTCCTGTGTTTGCATTACTTTAGAATCTATTTTTAAGCTTTTAAAAATGTATCTATAAAGATTTCTCAAGTACTTAATAAATGAAACAAAATAATCATTATGAAAATATAAATAGCTACTATAGCTTTTTCATCTTTTTTTATGAGTTTCCTATCAATCATTGTGATTTCCTGTTCCTCAGGGAGGTTGATATATTTTTTATGTTTGGTATCTCGACACTGCTGTGTTATGCCAGATTCATGGGACCCCAGTAGACCTCCAGGAGCCGAATCCGATGCAATCACACAAGAGTCTTTATTGCAAGCTGGAGCCTGGACTCACAACCATTCCCAATGCAGTGGTCCCAGGGAGTGAGTCCTGGTCCTTTGTTCAGTGAGATTTTATAGGTTTGGGGGGCTACTCTATACATCAGAACATCACACAGCAAATCATTCCATACCGCAGGAAAATCAAACAACAACTCTTTTTTTTTTTAATTTCATTTAAATTTTGTTTCCCAAATGTAACTAGATGGATTTTTTTTTTTTTTTTGAGAGAGAGAGAGAGAGAGGGTTTCAGAACACACAGTATTCACTCTGCCATACCAGTTTTTCAGTGGAATCTGATAGCATTGGTATTCATCATTTGCTGTTATTTCAACTGCAGGACCACCTTATTAGCTGCTTCCAAGGAATTCATTAGATTCTGCAGTTCTTCTTCATGCATTTCAACAGAATATGATTTTACATCACAATTTTCTTTTTCATCTAGATGAAGTTTTAAAAGTGGCTTTGTTAGGTGGGTGGCAGCGACTTTGTGGCGACTTAGTGGCAACTTAGAACAAAGCAGCCCGAGCCGGAAAAGAACATCAATCAGATGCCGGTGGAAATGCCTGTCAATCAGCCAGATCTCCTGACTGAAGCCTGTCAATCAGCAGGACCCCCTGGCCAATCCTGGAGTTCAGCCAACTCCCCTGACCAACTGACCAAGGGGACAAGGGACTCTAAGAACACTTTTTCCTGTCCCAAGCCCTTCCCTTCCTGCTGTAAGCCCCATAAAAGTCCAGTCCAGTCGAGCTTCCACACGGTTTCTCCTCAGACCCTTCCCCTGTCCCCTCTGTGGGTCTGATCGAGTTCCACCCGGGAGTGATATCTCAATAAAGCCTGTTCAGCGGCCCTTTTAAATCTGCCTCCTTTGATTGCTGCCTCCCCCGCCTGATCTGACAGCATTTATAAAGTAGCACTCTTGTCACTAGAAAGTGCAAGGTTTCACTGCCAATCAAAATCCTATAGCTGGAAAAAAAAAAAAAAATCCTATAGCTGAACAGAGACCCTGTGCCTGATAAAAGAAAAAGTAGGCCCAAATCTTCATCGTGTGGGCTTAGGAACTGACTTCCTTAACAAGACTCCTAAAGCGCAGGTGATAAAATCAAGAATCAACAAATGGGATGGATTCAAACTAAAAAGCTTTTTTTCAGCAAAGGAAACAATCAATAATGTGATGAGAGAGCCTATAGAATGGGAAAAAAATCTATCACATGCACCTCAGAGCACTAATCTCCAGGATATATAAAGAACTCAAAAACAAAACAAAAACAAATAACCCAATCAATAAATAAGTTAAGGAACTGAACAAACACTTCACAGAAGAAGAAATACAATCAGTCAACAAACATATGAAAAAATGTTCATCATCTCTAGCAATTAGAAAAATGCAAATCAAAACTACTCTTTCATCTCACTTCAGTCAGAATGGCAACTATCAAGAATACAAGCAATGATAAGTGTTGGCGAGGATGTGGGGGAAAAGGTACATCCATACATGGCTGGTGGGACTGCAAATTGGTACAACCACTATGGAAAGCGGTATGAAGATACCTCAGAAAGCTTAGAATGGAACCACCATTTGAACCAGCTATCCCACTCCTTGGTTTGTACCCAAAGGACTTAAAATCAGCATGCTATAGTGACATAGCCATACCAATGTTTATAGCAGCTCAATTCAAGGGTAGAATGAAGGAAATTTGGTTTGTGTACAGGGGAGTGAGGGGAAGAGTGGGGCGGTGGGGATGGGAAGGACAGTAGAATGAGACAGACATTATTACCCATATACATGTATGATTACACTACTGTAGTGATCCTGCACCACGTAGAACCAGAGGAATGAGAAGGTGTGCTCCATTTGTGTGCAATATGTCAAAATGCATTCTACTATTATGTATAACTAATTAAAAAAAGAAAAAAATCAGCATACTACAGTGACACGGCCACATCCATGTTTATAGCAGCTTAATTCACAATAGCTAAACTATAGAACCAACCTAGATACCCTTCAACAGATGAATGGATAAAGAAAATATGGTATATATACACAATGGGATATTACTCAGCCTTGAAGAATGAAATTATGACATTTGCAGGTAAATGAATGGAGCTGGAGAATATCATACTAAGTGAAATAAGCCAAACCCCACCACTGAAAAAAAACAAAAACAAAAACAAACAAAAAAGCAAAGGCCAAATGTTTTCTCTGATATGTGGATGCTGATCCACAGTGAGGGGTGGTGCTAACGAAGAATGGAGGAAATTTGGGTTGGACAGGAGAGACTGAGGGAAGGGGAGGGGTGTGCGGGTAGGAAGGATAGTATAATGAGATGGACATTGTTACCCTATGTACATGTGTGATTGCATGAATGGTGTGGCTCTGCATTGTGTACGGCCAGAGGAATGAGAAGTTGTGCTCCATTTGTGTACAATGAGTTGAAATGCATTCTGCTGTCATTTATAACTAATTAGATCAAATAAAAATACATATTATCTCAAAAAAAAAATCCTACAGCTGTGCAGAGAAAATATCAGCTATTTCTCCTACCAGAGCCTGCTTGATTTCATCTTTCCTATTTTTCAAGCATTTCATGAGAGCTTCTTGAGGAAATGAACTCAACTTGATTCCATTGTTGAAGTGCCTTTTCATCAGAATTTTTTTTTTTTTTTTTTTTTTTTACCAACTGTGGCTTTAAAACATTTGGTCACACCTTCTAAAACATGCATCCATTCTTTGGAATCCCAGACACTGTGATGATCCTGGTGGATAAACAGATGCCATCAATTATTTTGTGAAGAAGTTGTGTACCCAGCTGGTGGGCAGGGTGCACAGCTTCTTGAACCATTTCAAGAGCATCTCTGCTCCCAACTCCATCCCTGTGTAAAGTTTTAAGGTTGGGATTTAAAATGGAGTTTAGGTTAGAAAACACCAGGGAAAGGGCAAAATGAGAGAATATGGAAGAGACTGGGAAGGAGGTTGAGAACAGCAGCCAGGGTGAGAGCCTGATGCTGCCGAGATGAGGACAGTTAAGAGACTCTGAAGTTTTGTTACTAATTTCTTGGCTCGCTGCCGTTACTTCACAAACCACTCCCTCTGGCAAAATGCCAGGCGCCATCCAGACTTGTTTACTGACTCTAACAGGTCCCAAAGGCTCAGTCCTTTTTCCCTCTCTGAATTGTGGAACCAATACCAAGATGGAGCACTGGCTGAGCCACGCAGAGTACTTAATTCTTAGCTAAGAAAAGTAGGAGGAGATAAACTTGAAACTCAACCCCACCTTGGGTTGGGGAGGGTTTAGATATGGGATAAAAGAAATGAAGAGGAGGAGGAATAGTTATATATTTTCTAGGAACAGGTGGAGAATTTCCAGGAATTTGGGTGCCACATCCTTTTTCCTCCATTTATGGTTCTTTCTGGTTGTTGTCATGGCATCTATCAACCGTCCTGGTGCTGGGGTGTGTCATTTAACATACAGATGAAATTAGAGGTTGTCTGGCAGCCATTTGAGATCCAGCTATTTTCAGCCAGCCCTGCTGAAGAGAAACTCCTGTCCTCGAGGATAAGCAAGACTAGGGACAGGTAGAAATTCTCCTAGGTCCTCTGGTCAGATCAGGGAACGGTAACAGACTGACACCATGGAGATCAAGGGTTGTATTGTAGTATCTGTGGAAAGATCTAGAGAAAGGGTCAAGGGGAGCTTGCAAAATGAGGGAGAAAAGACAATTATTTTTTGAGAAATTTTAATACTTAAACAGAAAAGGGCTGGGGGTTCCGTACTGCAGTGGCAGAGCGCTTGCCTAGCATATGCAAGGCCCTCGTTTTGACACCCAGCGTGGCAAAATCAAAACAATAAAACAAACAAAAAAAAGAAGCAGGGAAATGGGTCAAGATCTATGAGGCCAGTTATCACCCTGTGATAACACGTAATAAGTGCCATGCCAAACACTGTTCATAAGTATGTAGTTTCATTTTCATACAATTCCATGTTTATAGATGGAAAATGAGATACAAAAAAAAAAAAAGGTAATAAATTGCCTGGGGTCTAACTCTGCGGGTAGTGGAAATAGGCTTATGTGAGTGACTTCAGTGTCATTCAACTACCTAAACTTCTTACTGTCGGTGTATCACTTCTGCATAAAGGATAATTTAATTACATTTGCTGATAAATAAAACTTCCTGAGTGTGTAGCTCCGTGGTGCTGAACACACACAAATTCCTGTGTTCATTCCCCCAAACCAAAGAACAAACAAACCAATCTAGTATGCTTGACCAAAATATTTATTTGAGAATTATACAGTAAAATTCCAAGATGGCATAAACTTTAAAAAGACCTTTTAAAATATCCAAGAACATTTGCTTCATTTTCCCCTAGAGTACTAATAATTATATAGTTTCATTTCAATTAAAAAAAAACTCTAGAGAGAATAAGGACAGAAAGATCACCAAAAGAGCAGGAGATCACAATTTCAGATATTGTACTGAGAAATAAAAGATCTTCCTACGTGATAGCTAATCCAGTCAAAATAATTAGCTACTTTGGTGTAAACACCTGGGAACTCTGGTTTTCCACAGTTTTCACCCCAACTCACAATGCCCCAAACATAAGTCACATTATTGATGTCCGTACAGACTAAGGGGCCTCCAGAGTCTCCTTTACAGGCATCAATGGAACCATCGGATGTACCTGAGAAAGAGAAAAGCGCATATTGCCACCTGTTTGTCAAGGTCACCATGCTGACTTCCCTACTTCTGTCACCAGAGAAGGACATAACTAGTTTTCTTCTGCTTTCCTAAAAGGCGGTAACAGGGACTCTCCCTCCCTAGGGGTCCCTGCAGGGCTTGCAGAGTTGGAGCCAGTCTGAATGATTCGCTTTATCCTTCCCAGAGCAGAGAGGCTTTGACCATCACTACATCTTGTAGTGACCTGGACATTGCCCCATCCTGGAGGGTGAGGGACGCATCTTTAGACATAGGTGTGTTACCCCATGGATTGAGCTACACTCACCTGTTCCTTTGTGATTCTACCCCTTTGCCCTGTTTGGGATAGAATGTTCCATAGAAACGCCCTTTGTGTGTCCCTTTCTCTTGCTCTGCCTTTGGGTGTGGCCTTCCTAGATGTCAGTCACCCTGCTGACAGCAGACATCACATAGCTAGACTCAACCCCCTGAAACCTGACCCCCTGCCTCATTTGAATGGCTTCTCCTCAATAAAAGGGGTCAGCACCACTCTCTCTCTTTCTGTGGACCCTTAAGGTCAGAAGAGCCGGCACAGGACCCCAAAGAAAAAGGTATCTCTGTCTCTTGTGTGGTTATTTCGTGCAGCCCAGTTCCCCTGGAGTGACCCTGAGTGTTTTTGTTGCAAGGAACGTGACAAAACACTTAGTGCTTATTGAGTGCTTAATAGGTATTAGTCATTCATCATTTTAATCCTCACACAATCCTACCGGGTAAGTATGGTTAGTATCATTATTTCCTCCACTTTATAGATGAAACAAAGAAGACATGAAGAGGTCACTATCTTGTCCAAGGTGACACAGCAAACAAGTGGCAGAGCCTGGACTTGAGGCAGCCAGAGCTCATCTTTTTAAGTGTGACACTTGCCTTGTGTCTGATGACTCCTCAGTATGGTAAGCTCTTGGAGATTTGGCCTTCATCTTTCAAACTTATAGCTATTCATCCCTTGTTTGTTGACTGGCCGATTTTGTGTGACTCATCCATTTGTCTGTAATCCTGAACCCCGTTTCACAATGGGAGGGCACTTTCTTCTTACTCTTGTGAATTTCTAACAGTTTTCAATAAGTTTTGAGTTTGTTCCCCAAGGGTTCATGTGCTGGGAGGTTGGTCTTCAGTGAGGTGATGCTAAGAGGTGGGGCCTATGAAAGGTCCTTAAGTCAGTGAGCAGAAGGGAGTGTCCTCCCAAGGGATTGAAGGGTTCTCCCGGGACCCTGAGTTAGTTCTCCAGAGAGGGTTGTTAGG